GGGCAGGCCTGGCTACTGTCGACGTACTACCGTCGAAGAACCCTGGGATCGCTACCCGCATCGCTGCTGATGTTGGAGTCCTGAGTTCACTACAAGCCTGGTGCCATGACGTCGTCGATTCGCTCTTTCGCTATCTGATCAACGAGGGATACGGCGCATCGAAGCCAGCTTCCTGCCCACATATTGGGTCTCGTCCGTAGCTCGTCAACGCATTGACCGGGATCCCATGCTCGGCTGCTTACCTGGTTGAAGTGCTCCACATCTCCCTCGAGCCACAACCAGAACACCCCTCGAAGATGCAGCGCGTACCCGAGATGCGCGATGGCGCTCCACCAAGCGAGGTCCCCCAAGCAGGCCCTGGCTGGCCCATGCAACCACCCTGCGGCCCTGCTGCCTGCCAGGTGCAGCAGCCGCGCCCTCGGCGCCGCAGAGGCCGGGGTTGGAGCATTCCTTGCGTAGTCGCGCGCCTCCTCGGGCTTTTCGTGCCGCCCGCATCTTGCTTTCGAGTGCGACGTGCGCTGCGATGTTCACAACGTTGGACACCTTGGAGCAGCAGCTGTCAGCAGGACGGTGTTTGGTCACTTCACTGTCCTACAGTCCAGCAGTACATCAAGGTGCAAGCCCAGAGTAGGACACATCACAGGGCAAGTGTTTTTTTTCCGACGGGACTTGCGATCCGCTCAAGGACGACTGGAAATCTCTTCGACACGTGCGCGTACGTAACCATGGGCATAAGGTACGACGTGCGTTACGCAGAACATCCGTCCAGTTTTTTCATAATATCAATGCGTGTATTCCCGTCGAAGACGCTGAGAGTTGTCACAAGCGTGTCACACATGAGTGCAATGGAAACGCTTACGTCATGCAAATATCGGAGCACTTCTCCATTCGCGACATGTCCGTGTGATGAGCCATATCCCTAACGAAGTCTGGTGTCAAGAGTTCGTCGTGGGCGGGGATGCGGCTTTGCCGGGCACTGAGCGTTAGCGACATCTCAGGGGGCGCGGAATCGAGGCGAGCAGCTTCGCCTCAGCATTCAAGAGCTATAGGGGGCCACATGCGAACCCTACCCCAACCCCCCACGATTTCTGAGGGGGAGGGTTCGCATGTGGCCCCCTATAGCTGGCCACACTATGGAGGGCCGAGGCCAGCTCCCGCCTCTCCTCCGCGCCCTGCACGCCCCCACACACGTGGCAACCGCAATCCATAGCGGCCCTCGGCCCGTCCGGCCGCCGTGCCTGGGCCTCGTGGACAAGGAGGCCCATCGGAGGCCCCTCGGGGGGGGCCTCTCGGGGGGGCCTTTTGGGGGCCTCTCGCGTGCTTCCGGGGAGAGGCCTATCGGAGGCCCCTCGGGGGGGGCCTCTCGGGGGGGCCTTTTGGGGGGCCTCTCGCGTGCTTCGGGGGAGAGGCCTATCGGATGCCTCTCAGGGGCCTTTTGGGGGCCTCTTGCGGGCTTCTGGGGCGCCTCCTGGCGGCCGCTTGCTGGAGCTTTGGGGCCTCTGGTGGGCCTCCTGGGGGGCTGGTGGCGGTCTCGGGGACTCTCTGGGGCTGGGGGGCTCGACGTGGCGGCAAGGTGACTCGAGATCGCAGCCCTCTTGGGGCTCTCGAGGGCTCTCTTGGACGGGTCTTGTAACCCTTCTGTGCTGTGCTGGGCGCTCTTAAGATAGACTCGGCGAGATGGCGAATGTCATGCATTCAACGAGTCCAGAACGGTTCCTTGGGGAACTTTATATTTGGACCGGCGACGTCTCGGACACGACTTGCGGGCGGGCTAAGTTGGGGCACAGGCGGCGCTTTCGGCACAGGAGGGAAGGGGAGGCGTGGAAAAATGGCCCCCCAAGCGGGCCTCTCGATGTTCGCATATATATATATATATATATATATAAAAATAAATAAATAAATGCTAGGTTCCCCTCGGTTCTCTGGGTTATCTAGCTTTTCATCGATGTTCTGTAGATGAGATGTTCTCTAGATTCTCCAAGATCAAGAGGCAATCGCGCCTCTCGAGCGCCAGGGCCGCCCAGACGGCCCAGGAGTCCCCCTGAGATCGCGCCGAGACGTCCCCCAATATGCCCCCTAAGAAGCCCCCCCGACACAGGCCGGGGAGACAGCCGCGCGCGGCAGGGCGGCCCTCGGAGCGTGAAGCTCTTCGGGATGTGTGTGGAGATCGCCAGGGTCTGCCTCCTCTCTGGAAACACACATCGGGGGTGGACAGACCTCCTACCCTGACACGTCGATTGAGGAATTGGCCGTTTTCGGTTCGCGAGGGGGCGTCGCGGCCGTCATTTTTGCGGGTCCAGGTCTGTCGGTTTCAGTCCCAGGCCGTTTTCACTAAGGGGAGGTTTACCAAAGGGAGGTTTGTCCACCGCCGAACAAACGAGTGAGGCCTGTTGCAGGCAAATGCTGCCTGAGAGGGGCTCGCATTCGGAACAGGCAGCCGCAGAGGGAAGAGAAACACACGCCTCAGAAGATGCTCTGCACCCCCCTTTGGATGACGTCGTCGTCGAGCCCGAAGTACATCCGCATGTTGACGCTCCCAGGTGCGAGTGAGTCGTGCGAAGGGCAGCGGGGTGCAGGAGCGAAGTTTCCACCCTGGGAGCCAGGGCGCGATCCAGTGATACACGTCATCACTGGCAGTAGCGTGTGCTGCCAACCGCGCCCCCGAGGCCTTCAGAAAAGTCGCGCGACGCACCTCGAGGTCGCCCAGGACCGCTGAGGAATTCCTACCACATCGGGGGTTTTGGGCCTTTCATGATTTTTGTTCGTTCAACGCGCAGAGCTCCAAGGCATTTGAGGACCCTCGACTTCGTGCTTTGCTGCACAGTGTCGCATGTGTCGCCATAGTTGCCAAACTTGGCGTTTTCTGGGCGCTTCGGTCCAATCCTGTAGCACCCGCGCTTCGTCCCTACCTGGCAGCGCCTGCGCTCCCTGGCCCAGTCCTGTGCCTGACGAGGAGGGAGGGGAAGTCCAAAGGAGGAGGAGGAGAAGGAGGAGAAGGACGAGGAGGATAAGACGAGGGAAGGAGGATCAGGAGGCTTGCATGGCCTCTACCACGGGTCGTCGCGCGGGCCCCGACCCCTCCTCCCTCTGCCTCCCCTTGCCCTCCTCTCCCGCCCCCTCCCCTCCTCCCTTCATCCTTCCCCCCCCCCATCCTTCATCCTTCCCCCCCTCCTCTCCTCCCCCCATCCCATCCTCCCTTCATCCTTCCCCCCCCCATCCCCTCCCTTCATCCTTCACCCTTCCCCCCCCATCCCAGGGGGATGACAGGCCGAGCCCCCGATCTCCCAAGCCGCCCGCCTGGCAGCGCAAGAGACGGCCGCGCCCCGCGCCCCAGGGCCTCCAATCAGGGGCAGCGTGCGTGGGGGGGGGGCAATCGGCTCCGGAGAGGCTGCGTTGACCCCCCCGTCGCCCACTGGATCGCCGAGAGGGGGGCTCGGTGGCCCACGCCGCTCAGGAAAGCGTGCGGTTTTTCGCTCTCGGGGGCCATCGCCGACTCCAACGGATGCACCCCCCCCCGAGCCGCCAGCCCCCCCCCTGCAGTGCCCTTTTTAAAACATGCTCCGCGTGCGGACCATGTATTCAAACTGCAGGGATTTAGTATTTAAATCCACGATGAGTTCATGCATAACTTTATTCACAAGTCCATCATGTATTAAAAATCTTATACTTTTAGAAATCCGATGGATTAAAAACTCCCCCCTATCGTCTCCCTTCGGATCGCTCCCGACCGATAGCCGCCCTTCTCCAGGGGCCGCGGCGCGAGGAGCGCGCGAGCCATCGTGCCCGTCGCGCGAGCGAGGGCGACGGTGCGAGTTCGGACCACCTCCGCCTCCCCTCGTCGTGAAAAGAATGCGACGGGAGGCTTCTGTTGGCGACCTTTTGCCTCTGGGCGCCCTCGCGTGGGCCCGGGGAGGTCCACAGAAACCGCCCAGGATGGCGTTCCCGTCCCAGGGCAGGGGTCTGCAGCCCCCCCCCTCGAAATCAAAAACGCAAGTTTTTCCCGCGACGTGGCGGCGCGCCCCGGGACCCCAAAATCCCAATGCTCGTGCCGACGTATTGGCGACCGCAAACGGAGCAATCCTGCCCCGTGGGCCGCTCTTCGCGCGTTGGCCAACATGTAGAGCTTGCGTTTGATCTCGAGGATGGCTGTAGGCCTCCTGGTGGGTCACGCGCACTGGAGGGGCGATAAGTAGGGGGCGTACTGGAGGGGCGATACATAGGGGGCGTACTGGAGGGGCGAGAAATAGGGGGACGATACATAGGGGGCGTACTGGAGGGGGCCTCTTGCTGAGGCGTACTGGAGGGGCGATGGATCGGGGGGCAGCGAGGGCTGCCGAGCAGGTGCCTTGCAGGGCCCCGAAAGGGGCCCTTTCGGGCCCCGAAGGGGGCCTGCAGGGCCCGAAAAAAGGGACCTTTCTCCCCTCCCCACTTATCGCCCCCCATTACTTCGCGCCCAATCGGGGGGTTCGCGATGTGCAACGGTCACGACGTACCTGCCTCCCCCCCTCTCTCTCCAGCGCCCTCCCCTGGGCGGAAGCAAAAGGGGAAAAAGCCCAGGGCCGGGCTCTGGTCGCATTCGTCGGGGAGTATCGTCGAACGCATGCATTCCACAAGTGGATCGGCTATACAATTGATTGGTCCCGAAATCGATTTTTCCGTCGGGTCTATGACTGCTCCGTAGATCTCGGGGCATCCTACGTATTTCTCGTAGATTCGACGGGGAAATCAATTTTTGGGGAAGTCAATGCTGTAGTCGATCCCCTAGTCGATGCATGGGCGACCAGACCCGCAAGATGAGTGTGATGCTCCACCCTGGGCCATCCCCGGCCTTGACTGCGACGCACCCCGCTCTACGCGGCTCCCGGGCCTACGTCCGCACGGTTGGGGCGCACGCACGCGTTGATGCCATGTCTCGCCGTGCACCTTCTTCCTATGATGCGTTCTGTTTACCTGCTTTGCGGACCTGGCGGGCTACCTGCCCATCCTCTCTCGCGCCCCAGGCGAACACCTGGACCGAGGGGATCCTGGAGCAGGGCTTCGGCTTCGTGGGCTCCAAGGGCAACTTCAGGGGCACCGGCGTGGTCTCCCGTCGCCTGGCCTCTCCTCGCTTCCCCCCTATCCTCCTCCCTCCTTCTCTCCCTTCCTTCCCTCCCCCTCCCTCCCCTCCCTCCCCTCCCCATCTTCCTCCCTCCCCTCCCCTCCTCCCTCCCTCTCTCCCTTCCTTCCCTCCCCCACCTCCCTCCCCTCCCTCCCCCTCCCCCTCTTCCTCCCCCCTGGCCAGGCCCTGGGGCCGTCGAGGAGCGACTCAGGATGAAGACTGGGCCCCGGGGACCAGGTCTCGATGCCTCTGGGGGTCGACGTCGAGAACAGATCGTGACGTCGGGGGTCCTCCTCCTCCTCCTCCTCCTCCTCCTCCTCTCCTCCTCCTCCTCCTCCTCCCTCCTCCTCCTCCTCCTCCTCCTCCTCCTCCTCCTCCTCCTCGTGCTGTTCCAATCGCACTTACGGACTACATCCCATGGATCATGTCAAGCAGCCAGAGAAGTATCGAGACGGTCTCTGCCCGACCCGCTGGCGAAGTGTCGACCGAGTACATATCGCCTCCCAGGACCCGGCCCGTGAAAACCCTGCAGTTTCGGTACTTCTTTGGTACTCGAAAGTCTCTCTGGTAATCAAGGGAGGCTAGAAGTATGCTCATGTCGGGTATGTCCCTCTACAGGAGGAAAGTCAAAATAGTAAAAAAATAGCCATGGGCAGTTTTTTGGACTATTTCGGAGTATTTTTTGTCTATTTCGTATTTTTCTTCCCAAATCCGCCTGCAGGAGTACATGCCCGACCTAAAAGTAGGTTGGAACATCCTAACTCTGGGGACGGGTCCTGAGGGATACGCGCCTCGAGGTTTTCCGCCGTGCTCGGGGCCCCAGGTCCTCCAAGGGCCCCGGGCCCGTCGGAAGGCGACTCGGGACGGACAGCTGGTCCAGGGGGAAGCCTCCGGGTCGGTGACGTGAACCCCCAGCCCCCCTTCGAGATCGTGGGGGGTGGCGTTGGGTCTCACATGTGGCCACCTGCCAGGGGTCCAGGACCCGTTTTCCTGTGGACCCGCTTCTTGCATGCTGCACAGGCTCGGGCGAGTCTGGAGGCCGTACCAGTCGCCGCGGTCGCCTCAGAGAGCGTTCTGGAGCGCACCGATCGGCAGGCATCACCCAAGCACGCTTTTTTGATCCGCGGGTCGAGGGCAAGCCTCTTCCGGCCGAAGCTGAGCGGGCCGCGCACAGCTTTTTAATTGACAGAGGGAGGAAGGCGGAAGGACCGCACACGCTTACGCTATGCGTGCGTCGGTCCCCTAGGGGTGACGCGCGCGTCCGGAGCTCTGGTCAGATGGTCGGCGGTGGCGCTCTCTGGCCACACCGCCTGGGTAGCTGTGCATGGCATACTGTGTTCTAAGATGTCTGTGCTATGTGTTCGGTCTGGGTGCGCGCCTCCAGGAGTCGCGCATACAGTCGGGGCGCTGAAGAAGGAACCCTTCTCGTTTGGGGGGGGGCTCGGTGTTCCTTAGTTGTTTCGCAGCTTTCCTAAGGTTTCCCTTCGCTTTCGATGGGAAATCGAAGTTCAACTTATGGAGTACAGGGGCCTCGTTCCCTATTTAGGGTTCCTTAGGTCAACGCCCCGACTGTAGTACTAGCAAGTCCCTCTGCGTCCCAACCGACGCTCAGGAGCGTGCGGATGGGGTTATCGAGGGCCTATCCATCGGCGACGAGTCGCCGATTGCAGCTCGGTGCTTCCCCTCCTGGGCTGGTCTTTCCGTGTCGTTACCCCTCAGCCAAGGAGATGCCAGGGGAGGAGGGAGGCGCACTCAACATTGTCCGTCCTCCTCGCAGGTCCTGTCGATGGCGAGCGCCCCGTTCAATCCAGCAGCGCTGGGTTCGACCATCGCCGGCATTACCAACGATGGTTCGCGGACCTTCGTTTATGGCCAGGACACCCATTTTGTGCACACATGAATTCGTTCAGAATTTTGTTTGGCAGGAGGAGACAGTAGTGTATGTGCTGCTGACCGTGCTGCAGGAGTTTCCATCCCTGCCACGACTCCGACCGGAGCATGAATCCCCTCGCGTGATTCGTCATTTGTCTGCCTTCATGTTTTGGCTCCTTTCCATCGTATGCTGTTAGTCAGCTGAGGGGTGTCCTCGCCGCGTGTTAACCGCAAAAGGTTTTATCTACAGTATTGTCGGGGTCCCAGTATGTCAATGAGCCCGCGCAGCACATACTTAGTTTTACATTATTGGGCGGGGGGGTATGAAAGACCTTTCGCGGTGAACCGTTCTCGACACGTCGTTGCCGGTGATGTGCCGTCGTACGCCTCTTGCTCGGTGGGCCCTCGGTTGCCTCTCCCGCAGCAGCGAGCAGCTGCTGCCGTGGGTCGCTGCGCTGTCTTCCGCACCCTGCCCCTTCTTGGCAGCAGCTCCGCCTTGGATGTCTGCGCGCTGCCCACCCCTCCCTCCCTCGCATCCTACTCGGAGGAGGAGGAGGAGGAGGAGGAGGAGGAGGAGGAGGAGGAGGAGGAGGAGGAGGAGGAGGAGGAGGTGGAGGTGGAGGTGGAGGGGGAGGTGGAGGAGGAGGAGGAGGAGGAGGAGGAGGAGGAGCGGTGTCTGCGCGCTGCCCACCCCCTCCCTCGCATCCTCTGGAGTCTCGGGTGGCCCCTCGGGGACAGTCCCGTCGAGGAGGACTGGTCCCCTCAGGGGTGCTGCCCTCGAGGAGCGAAGGATGGTCCCCTCGAGGAGGGCCTCGGTCCCTTCGGGTGTGACCATCCCCCAGAGCAGCAGGAGGAGGAGGTCCTCGAGGATGGGCATCTCCCCCCTTGATGCTCACTATGCAATCGGCGGGAAATCGAGGAAATGCTTTGGCGAAGGTTCTCCTCTTATTCCTTCTCCTCCTCTCTCTCCTCTCTACCTTCTTTTCCTCCTCCTCTTCCTCCTCCTCCTCTTCTTCTTCTCTCGCCAATGCGCGATGTCAGGGGCCGTGTTTTATGCCGCTCGTTTTTTTTGTGTGTGTGCGCGTGTGTGTGTGTGTGTGTGTGTGTGTGTGTGTGTGTGTGTGTGTGTGTGTGTGTGTGTGTGTGTGTGTGTGTGTGTGTGTGTGTGTGCGTGCGTGCGTGCGTGTGTGTGTGTGTGTGTGTGTGGTGTGTGTGTGTGTGTGCGTGCGTGCGTGCGTGCGTGCGTGCGTGCGTGCGTGCGTGTGGTGTGTGTGTGGTTTTTGTGTGTGCGTGTTGTGTGTGTGTGTGTGTGTGTGTGTGTGTGTGTGTGTTTTTTTTGTGTGTGTGTGTGTGTGTGTGTGTGTGTGTGTGTGTGTGTGTGTGCGTGCGTGTGTGTGTGTGTGTGTGTGCTCTCAGATGGCCACTGGGCACTTCTCCGTGTCTCCCGCTGCGTCGCAGCTTCGCTGCTGATGGGGTTGCCGTTTCTCTTGGCGCAAGGGGGGGTATGGGGGTGGGAGTGAGGAGGATGGGGAGGGGGAGGTGGAGGAGGAGGAGGAGGAGGAGGAGGATGGGGAGGAGGAGGAGGAGGAGGAGGAGGAGGAGGAGGAGGACTTGGAGGAGGAGGGGGAGGAGGATGGAGGAGGAGGAGGGGGGGAGGACCGGGGTAAGCCAAAGATGCATAAAGGATGCTGCAACACACCCTCCCGTCTCAAGTCCCCTTGTCGTGCTTCCTGTGCCAGTCCACGTTTTTCACTGCAAGAAGCCTCCCCGTCAAAAGACCAACACTGCTGTGCCTGCCATTTTCGCGAGGGTCTCGCTGCGAAAAGGAATGGTCTTGCATCTCAGTGGCGCGTACGCAGGAGTGCGAGAGGCAATGATCATACCGTTCCACGTGGTGTCCAGCGAGCTCCCCCTCTCGAAGAACAACTGCCCCACCCGTGTAACTGCTGCGCAAGTTTTGATTTGCGGTCATGCACTTCGAGGAAGTCTCATGCGGCACCTCTGAGAAAGAGCCGCCAGCGATCCGTTCAATGCTACGCGCGTTGGTAGCAATCGATATGGGGGTTTCCAAAGTATGTCCACATGTCGAGTTGCCGTTCAAACAGGCTGGGCTCTAATCACGACTGATGTAAACCAAGTGTCGATACTAAGACTTCTGACATCGAGGTCTACTGGTGCTCATTTCAAAATGAAGCGAATGTGCTTGGCGCTCAGGCGAGAGCCACATTTTGAAAATGGTCCGCCCTCAATTCGTGAACCTGTTGCATTTTTTAAGACGAGTGTGCGCGGCGCTAAGGCGAGAGCCACATTTTGAAAGCGATCCGCCCTCCATCCGTGAAGCTGTTGTCCAACCTTTAAGCTCCAGGATCCCAAATTGTGAGGAAGTCTCAGGCGAAACGCCCGGCCCGCCTATTTTCGGCCGGCCTCGGGGTGCGACAGAGAGGAATTATTCGTAAGGAAAAGGAAGGAAGCATGGAGGAGGGAGGAGGACGAGGCAGGAGGCGCCTGCCCAGGAGGCGCCGGCCATGACGTGCCGCTTCGACTTCCGCAACACGTTGAACGCCCGCACCCTCCCCCGCGCGCGGCGTCCTCTCGCGCCCCCGCCGTGGTGGGGCGGCTCGTGGCGATCGATTTGTTCACCTCCGACTCGGTGCGGTTCGGAGCGACCACAATACACGTCGGTCGTCGGAAGCAGGTGTTTGTTTGGATGCCCAGGTCCCCAATCTGCGTATGGAGCCTTGCAACTTCTAGAGTCGAGTGGTTTTCCCTCCTCCCTCCTCTTCAGGGGGTTGGGCGGGAGCCCAATCTGCATCCAACGCCTTCCCACCTTATGTTTCTACCCACTTCTTCCGACCGGCGGGCACGGTCAGGAATTTTGGCGCAGCGTGTCGCGCGGCCAGTGGGCCTGCTCCGGCACAGCCCGGAGTGCTTCCCGCTCCGAGGGCGCCCCAGTCGTCCGCGGCCCTCTCCTCCCTTCCCTCCCGGCCTTCCCTGCCGCCTTGGTGCCCAGTTCGCACCGCAGCACCCGCCCCTGCCGCAGCCACGACCGCAGCTCGGATCCCAGGCGCCGCCGACCACAGAGGCCGCGCCGCCGGTTTTGTTGGCCCACCACGCTGCGGCGCGACGCGCCACCGCTTCCCTGGTCAGGGGAACAAAAAGTAACATAAATCGGGTGTTGCTAGAAGTGCCCCTGGCCCAAGGTGCCCCCAGCATTCCGCTCCATTTTGAAGTTCCTGAGGTCCTCTGGGCCTCGTGAAGGGTGCACTGGAGGCCGCCCAGGCCACCCCGAGAATCCTGGGGGCACCTTGGGCCAGGGGTACTTCTAGCAACACCCGAATAAACATAAAAACTCGGAGGTCCGCGCGGATTTCTCGGATCGGCGTTGGGGCCCCCCGGCGGCGCCTCCGGCGCCTCCCCTGTCGCGCTCCGAGACATCCGCGCGGACCTCCCAGTCTTTATGTTCATGTCACTTTTTGTTTCCCTACTGGTCCCCATGCGTCAGCGTCCCGAGTTTTTTGCCGCTCTTCCCGCCCCGCGAGGCGGAGCGGCGCGCTGCCCGCTGGCAGGGCACAGCGTGCCACCGAGGCCGCCGCAGCGGGGCGCGGAGCAAAAGTTTCCGACCGTAGATGCGGAACGACAAGAGTTTGCATCTGTACACTCAGGGGCCATAGACAATTTTCTTGGGGGAAATTCTAGGCCTCCTAGATGGGGTCGGAGTAGACGGAGTCGGAGGATCGCGCCGCATCCCCAATGCATCGGCGATGCGGCTCGATGTGGAGGCCGCTTTTCTCCACGCCGACGGCGCCGATGCTTCGCCGACTTCGCCGATGCATCGCCGATGCGTCTGCAGTGTATCGCCGATGCATCGGCGACGTATCGCCGATGCGGCGCGAGCCTCCGACCCCATCTACTCGGACCCCATCTAGGAGGCCTCTAGTACTAGACATGCTCATGGGAGCGGCGCGTCGATCCCCGGTCGCCCATCGATCGCCGATATGGGGCCCCGGTCGCCGAGCCCGCCCAGGAACGTGCGGCTTCGCTGTCGGGGGGGGGGGCCCGTCGCCGATGTGTCGGGGCTGTATCGCCGACTGCGGGTCGATGTTTTTTCCCTCTGCGCCAATCCCCTCCCAACGTTCGCACTCCTGTCGAACCCTCGTCCATCTCCAGCTCAGTGCGGTTCGGTGCAGCCGAGCTGGGTACGGAAATGCAACCATTTGTATTTGCGTATGTGCTGGTCGTCAGACGTGAGGACCCTGACACCTGGCCCCTCGTCGTTGGGAACTCCCGCTAGCTGCGTACTATGCACGAGGTTGCGGGCAACCCATGCTACGTGGTACAGGTTGGAACATCAGCATAGGTACTGGAAGAACGGCCTGGCTTCTGCGCCGCATGGCAAGTCCTTGTCAGTCATGCGCGGGAAGCACACCGCGGGCGGCGCCCGCCAGGAGAGCTCACGGGTACAGCACATCTGTGAAGTGACCCTTCGGCACAGCAGCGACGGCACCGAGGCCTGGCGGCGAGGCGCAAACGACGGCACAGCTCCGGGTCCTGGCCCGACCTCGCCCCGGACAGCCTCCCGAGGAGCGAGCGCGGTGGCGCAGTGGCGGCGAAGGGCGGCGACGGGGGGCCCCCGCGCGGGAGCCCGGAGAGCTGCCGGCCAGCGCGCGGAGCGGCGGCGAGGCAGGCGACGGGCGCCACCCCCACCCCGTGCGATGTCCACAGGCAGGCGACGGGCGCCACCCCCACCCCGTGCGAGAGCATACCGCGCGTGGCACCTGCGCTCCTCGACCACGCGACAAGCACCTCGCGCCGCATGACTGCGTGCGTCGCCAGGCGGCCAGCCGCTGACGCCGCGCACGCTGGCAACGGGTGCTGGGGCGAGGTGCGACAGGGCCCCACAGCGCGCTGGTGTCTGGCCAGGCCCGCCGCGCCCAATCGACCCGATTCGCCCGCCCGAAGAATCGCCATGCGCGGTAAGGTTCCACGCTTTGGTGCGCTTGGTGAGATGTGCTAACAAGCTCCCGTCGTTCTTTTCAGCCACGGCCTCCCGATATTGGCAAGCAAGCTGCAGGTGTGCGGGTGGGTTGTGCTCGAGCGAGTTTGTGTGCCAGTCGTATTCTCTGGGTGGTCATCCCGTGGATCATCTAAGACCCTGGACCCCCCTGCACCCTGAGCCGTCTTAAACCTTGGAGTGGGGTGAGGGGGGCGGCCTTCCAGGGAAGCATGAGGCTCCTTCTCTGCAGAGGGGGGTTGAGCCTCGAAAACCGATCGCCTTCCCCCCCAAAACTCCTTCAGAGAGGCGGGGCGGGCCCTCCCGACCATGCCCCCTTCAACGCGCCGCCAGCTCTCCCTCCACGTGCTCTAACTCACGCTGATGCTCTTCCTTCCCTTTCTCGGCTCTCTCGTCTTCTTGCCGCTTCCTCGCTGCTCTTGCGCCAGGCAGCGCAGCTGAAGATCCGGTTCAGGCCAGACGCTGTCGAGGCGCCTGAGAAGCAAGCGACACGAGTGAGGGACAGGAACTTGTAAGGGAGTGGAGGGGGGACGCTGTGAACGATGAAGATCATGATGGCGACGATGACGACGATGGTGATTCTGATAATGATGATGGTGGGATCATGGGGACTACGAGTATGTGATGATGATGCTGCTGATGATGGTGGTGGTGGTGGTGATGATGCTTGTGATGAGGATGGTGACGGCGACGAGGACGATGACGAGAATGATGGTGTTGGTGTTCATTGTGATTATGAAGATAGTGACGATGACGATGACGATTTTGTTGACGATTCTGATTATCATGATGCTAATTATGCTGATTCTGATGATGATGAGGATGCTCATGAAGATGATGATGGTGATGAGGATGATTGTGATAATTTTGGTGATGATGATGGAAACGATGATGATGCTGATGATGGTGATGAGGATGATGGTAATAATTTTGGTGATGATGATGGTGACGATGATGATGATGATGATGATGATGATGATGATGATGATGAGGATGAGTATTAGGACGATGAGGATGCTCATGATGATGATTATGATGATTATGAGGATGATGATGGTGATGATTTTGGTGATGATGATGGTGACGATGCTGTTGATGATGATGCCGCTGACTAAGATGCTGCTGCTATGCTGATCATGGTGGCGATGATATTGTTGATGATGATAATGATGACGATTCAACTGACGACGACGATGATGACGATAACGACGACGACGAGGACGATGATGATGATGACGACGGCGATGATAATGACGATGACGATGATGATTATGATGATGATGGTGGTGGTGCTGGTGATGATGATGGTGGTGGTGGTGATGGTGATGATGACGATGATGATGACGATGACGACGACGACGACGGCGATGGTGATGATGAGGAGGTTGATGATGATTGACGACGACGACGTCGATGTTGATGTTGACGATGATGATGATGCTGATGATGATGATGCTGATGATGATGATGATGATGATGATGATGATGAGGATGATGGTGATTGACAACGACGTCGATGATGATTATGATGATGACGACGACGACGGCGATGATGATGATGATGATGATGATCACGATAATGATGATACTGATGATTATGATGCTGATTATGCTGATGATGCTGATGATGATGCTGCTGATGATGATGAGGATGATGCTAATGCTGATGATGATGATGATGATGATGATGAGGATGATGCTGATGCTGATGCTGCTGCTGCTGCTGCTGTTGCTGCTGATGATGATGATGATGATGATGATGATGATGATGATGATGATGATGAGGAGGAGGAGGAGGAGGAGGAGGAGGAGGAGGAGGAGGAGGAGGAGGGGGAGGAGAAGGAGGAGGAGGAAGAGGAGGAGGAGGAGGAGGAGAAGGATGATGAGGAGGATCATGAGGATGACGATGGCGATGATGACGCTGGTGAAGGTGACAGTGAGGAACTCGGTGCTGATGATGTGTTCACTCAGTAATTCCGTAGTGTTGAGTCCTGTTTGTTTTTGCACAGCGCTGCGCGTCCACCCACGCTTCTCGGTCCTATTTTTTCTGTATGACATCTGTGCCGGATGACATATGTGCTGGATGCTCGGATTCCTCCACCGTCCGCCCGCTCTCCGCGTCCAGTGGGGACCAGTGTCGAGGGAATGGAAGTTTATTTATATCGCTACACCGCGATCTAACAAATCCCTCTCTCCTTCTCACCTTCGTGCCGCTGCTGCTGCTGCTGCTGCTGCTTCGCTCCCTGGCTGCCTTAGACGCAGCCCTGCCGTTGCCGTTTTTGCATCCGACCGTGCCCCATGAAGAGCTCGACTTACGGTCTCAATGGGCCTTTTCGCATTCGCCCCCGCTCTGTTTTCTTCGGCAGCACATCATGGGAGCCTTGTGCTCCTTCGTGATTCCGTTCTTAGATTAGGTTATCGTCGATCAGCGTTTGGTATTCGACGAGGTAGCTGAGATTTAGCGTCGATTAGTGTCGAAGAGCGTCGATTTAGCGTCGACAGGCGTCGGTTAGCGTCGATTTGCGTCGATTCGCAAGAGCCAACAAGATGATTGGGAGGCTCCTGTGATTTGCCACAGCAGTTGTCAATACTGCGCATCGTGCCCCATAGAGAGCTTGACTCACGGCCTCACTGAGCCAGTTCGCATTCGCCCCCGCTCCCATTTCGGCCCCCTTCCATCTCTGGGGGGGAGTGCCTTTCGAGAAGACGGCGGCCTCTTCAGACACCCTCTCGCCTTCCATGGGGCCTTCTGAGCGCAGATTACGAGTCTTCTTGAGAGGCCCCCCCTGGCTTCTCAGAGCTTAGATCTCCAACGGTATCTGTAGGGTATATCTTAGCTGTTTAAATCTCGGCTGTTTTCGTCGATTTCCGCCTTTGGGGGAGGGTGGGTGAGGTCAGCAGGCGTAGGTGTGGAAGCTTGTGCCCGAACCGAAATGCGTACCTGATAATCCTGTCCTCCCTGCTTTGGTGCCGTTGCTGTTTCTCTTCTTCGACCAGAGATCCAGGGACGAACCTGCCTGTCGCATGATGGCCAGGGTCAGAGCAGAGCCGAATCCTGCCGAGAGCGGGTTCCTGGTTATGCGCCACAGCTGTCTACACGCGCGGCTTGGTTCTTGCAAGTCCCCGCGTGGGGCGCACACAGTCGGACCGAGGTATAAAATCGAGGTGGGTTCGGGGAGGGTGCCCTGATGTTCTTCGTGCTCGTTGGATGTTCTTGTGCACCCTGGGGAGGGCACCTTCGGATAGTCCGTGAGTTCTGGCCGGCGGAGGGTCTCCTGTTCTCGAAGGATGTTCTCGTGTCTCAGGTCCGACTGCAGATGCTGTTGCTGTTTCGGTCCGTGCTCGTCCTTCCGCCAGCGAGGTCTCGATGAAGCAGTCGCCCAGCCTGAGCTGGCAGGAGTGCTTCAAGATCGACAGGACCTGCGCTCCTGCGCTGACCGCACGCTGAAGTTCCCTTCGCCATTCGGAGGGCCTGGACTGGCTGGAGGCGGCGGCGGAGAGGCGAGAGAGGCATACAAGTGTCAGCCACGCGCAGAGGGGGGTGGGGGGAGGGGGAGGGCTTCTTCCCCCCTGCTTCTTAGAAGGCGCGGGCCTTATCTATAGATGTAAGGCCGCCGCCTTCTAAGAAGCAGGGGTGCTTCTAAGAAGCCCTCCCCCCTCCCTCCACCCCTTTGTGCGCGCCGCCAAATTTGGGAGCTACGCACCAATAGCGAAACGAAACCGCAAACACAGTCACACATCAACAGCGCAAGGACAAGTGTAGAAAAAACGCAGGGCGGCGGACTGTCGAGCAAGTGGAGCACCGCGCCGTCGGTCGGCACCTCAGAGGCTGCTCGCGATGCTCCCCTCCCCATCCCTGGCCTCTCCCTCCTTCCCTCGGCAGGATATCAGACATGGCGCGAGCGCTCCCGCCTAGCTGCTCATCCGCCACCTCCTCCTCCACTGTACGCAGATCCCCTTTTCCCGATTGCGCACAACACGATGAGGCCTTCTTGTTGGAGTTCCAGGTCCGCTGTGACACGCGTCGGCGGACAGAGACATCAGCGCAATGGGAAGGGAGGGGAGGGAGGGGTAGGATATCGGATGTGGCGCACGCGGACCTAGCCTGTCCCTCTAAGCATCTCCCGCTGCAGACCGCAGTCGTGCCATCCCCGCTGCTGCCGCTGCTCATCCCGCGCAGCGTCCCCTTCTGTGTCCTCGTTGCCCCTCCTCCGACCCACGGCGGCGCTCCGTGCGCCGCGGGGAGCCGCGAGGACCACCAGCCCGGTGAAGCCCGGGGGCTACATCGGCTTCACGGCACGGAGCGGCTCGCCGCCCCCGGGGGGCGCCTCCGACGCGGTGTCCATCGTCGAGGCGGGAGCCTCGGGCGGCGTGCTCCCTCCGCGGTGCTCCCTCCTCCCGCCCTCCCTCCCTTTCCCTGGTTCCTCCTCCCTCCCTCTACAAGGACAGGAATGCGACTCTCCTCTCTCCCCCGACTCTGGCCAGAAGAGGTGCGGCCCTCCTCCGCGCATTGTTTTTGTTGGCACACGGGATTCCGGCGAGTTGGTCTTTCAGATGCGTTTTTGTACATCAGTTCCCGGAAAGGGCGGGGGCGCAGGGTTCTCTTTACGAGGTTTACCCCCGGAATCGACTTCAAGGAGGCCGGCGGAATTATTTTTGAGGACGTCTCGAACGAAACGCTTTTATTTCAGAACTTGTTCAGGATGTCTTGAGCGAAACGCTGGTTTTGCAGAGTTGGGGGACGTCTCGAGCGAAACGCTAGATTTCCAAAATTTGTTGAGGATGTCTCGAGCGAAGCATGGTTTTGCAGAGTTGAGGTATCTAACATGGCGTCGGGCCCAACGCCGAATTATGAGGAAACGCACAGAGGGCCGAAAAGCGCTACCCGAACACATGTCCCAACACAGACAAGTGATGGTTTCTTGCTCTGAACAGGGAGTTGCGCTTTGGGGGCCTCTCCAGGGAAGACGTTGCGAGGATGTCTCGAGCGGGAGCGCGAATTCAGCGTATCCAGGTCACGCAGGTGGGTATCAAACATGGCTGTCCCGAGCTGGAACCGCGTGTTTTTTATGCTCAGGCCACCCAGGGAGATCTCGAACATGATTGTCCCGAGCTGGAACCACGTGTTTTTACGTGTCCAGGCCACCCAGTGGGTATCTAACATAGTTATCCCGAGCTGGCACCGTGTTTTTACGTGTCCAGGCCACCAACACGACGCTTGTCCCCAGCACGTTCTGTGGCGCGTCCCCTTGGCACCTCCCGCGGTGCGTCCCCGTGGCACGTCCCCTGGCACGTCGCCTGGCGCGTCCCTTGGGACGTTCCGCGGGCGTCCTCCTGGCATGCCCCCTTGTCATTCAGCTCTGGGGCAGCTACTATGTGCTAGGGCAGCTCGAGCTTCAGATCCAGATCAGTTCGGTTAGGACTCGGATGCAAACGAGGATTCGATCCACAACGCTATAGAGCACAATCGTCACGTAGCACATCGCAGTTCAGCACGGCGCAGTTCAGCACTGCCTTCGGCACGGTACATCAAGAATCAAGCTCGATACATTCAGCATTGCAACCTGGCACGTTCATTGGCACGTTCCGTGGCGCGTCCCGTGGCGAGTCCCCCTGGCACGTCGCGCGGCGTGTCCCCTGGCACGTCCCGTGGCACGTCCATCGGCACGTTCCGTAGCGCGTCCCCTCGGCACGTCCCGCGGTGCGTCCTCGTGGCACGTCCCTTGGCACCTCGCCTGGCGCGTCCCTTGGGACGTTCCGCGGCGCGTCCTCCTGGCATGTTCCCCTGTCAATCAGCTCTGGGCAGCTACTACGTGCTAGGGCAGCTCGAGCTTACGATCCAGATCAGTTCGGTCAGGACTCGGATGCAACGGAGGACTCGATCCACAACACTATAGAGCACAATCGCGGCATGGCACATCGCAGTTCAGCACGGCTCAGCACAGCACAGCCCTCGGCACGGTACATCAAGAATCAAGATCGATACATTCAGCATTGCAACTTGGCACGTTCCTTGGCACGTTCCGTGGCGCGTCCCGTGGCGAGTCCCCCAGGCACGTCGCGCGGCGCGTCCCCTGGCACGTCCCGTGTCACGTCCATTGGCATGTTCCGTAGCGCATCCCCTCGGCACGTCCCGCGGTGCGTCCCCATGGCACGTCCCCTGGCGCGTCGCCTGGCGCGTCCCTTGGGACGTTCCGCGGTGCGTCCTCCTGGCATGTTCCCCTGTCAATCAGCTCTGGGGCAGTTACTAGTTATGTGCTCAGGCAGCTCGAGCTTAAGATCCAGATCAGTTCGGTCAGGACTCGGATGCAAAGGAGGACTCGATCCACAACACTATAGAGCACAATGGTGGCATGGCTCATCGCAATTCAGCACAGCGCTGCACAGCACAGCCCTCGGCACGGTACATCAAGATCGATACACTAAGCACTGCATTTGCCCGTTGCCCAATCAGGTGTTTTTGAAACGTTGCCATGTCTTACATTTCTATATTCCTTTCCGGGTTCGTGGGTCGATCATGATTTTTTCCGGTCCTTCAAAATCCGGCAGGGCTTCGCCCCCTGCCGCCGGCTCCCTATGTCGGAGAATGCGAGAGCTATGTCATGAGGCCTGGGCGCCGTCCTGAAGCAGTATCGGAACTTCATGCGAGGCCGATTCGCAATCGACAAAAAACCAATTGACTTGTCTTCTGAGCCTGACCCCGCCGATCTGCGTGAGGGGTGCCAGCGAATTTCAGAAATGTGGCAAATCCTATGTGTTTTTGGACCCTGACCCCGCCGATCTGTGTGAGGGGTGCACCGAATTTTTACAAATGTGGCAAATCCTATGTGTTTTTGGACCCTGACCCTGTCGATCCGCGTGAGGGGTGCGACCGAATTTCAGAAATGTTGAGAATCCCTTGGGTTTTCGGACCCTGACCCGCCGAGCTGCGTGAGGGGTGCTATCGAATTTCAGAAATGTAGCAAATCCGATATGTTTTTGAACCCTGACCCCGCCGAGCTGCGTGAGGTGAGGGGTGCTATCGAAATTCAGAAATGTGGCAAATCCTATGTGTTTTTGGACCCTGCTCCGCCGATCTGCGTGAGGGGTGCCAGCGAATTTCAGAAGTGTGGCACATCCCATGTGTTTTTGGACCCTGACTCCGCCGATCTGCGTGAGGGGTGCCACCGAATGTTAGAAATGCAGCAAATTATATGCTTTTGGACCTTGACCCCGCCGATCTGCGTGAGGGGTGCCAGCGAATTTCAGAAATGTGGCAAATCCCCTGTGTTTTTGGTCCCTGACCCCGCCGATCTGTGTGAGGGGTGTCACCGAATTTCAGAAATGTGGCAAATCCCTTTTGTTTTTGGACCCTGACCCCGCCGATTTGCGTGAGGGGTGTCAAGTTTTACCCACCCCAGCAATTCAGACAACACGCTCAGAGCGTGCTAAACCTGCCCGTTTTGGGCCTCCCCCCCTCCGGCGGTCCATCAACAAGGAACAGTGAGCAGCAAGAAGCAGAACTGTAACAGTGGAAACTGGAAGCTGCAACTGGTACAGGAAACTGCGAACCTTCGGCCTACAGCCTGGTGGCCCCACAAGGGGGCCGGCGGATTTTGCTCCCGCTGCAGCGCTGGCCTTATTTTCGCGCTTCCGCTCGTTGCGAATCGTGCTCCCGCTGCAGCGCTGGCCTCATTTTCCAGTGCCATGCCATGGCATGCAATGCAATACTATGGTGTGTTCCGCTGCGCGATGCCATACTTTCAGCTGCAATGTTATGATATGCAGTGCTTGACTACGCAGTGCCGCGCCATGCTATGTCATGCTACGCGTTGATCTTCAACGTCATGTTATGCCATGTAAGGTTATGCCATACTACGACATCCGACTGCAATAATAGAGCGGATATCTACGCCATGGAAGGGGATGGGAGTGAGGGGCAGGACGTCACATAAGACGCTTGCGCACCTAGCTTGCCCCCCCCGCTCCCTCTCTCTTCCGTCCTCCTCCTCGTCCCCCTGTCCTTCGTTCGCCCCCTGAGCAACTTCCCTCTCCTGCCCCTCTTTCTCTTGCTTACTCCCTCCTCCCCGCCTCCCCCTCTCCCTCCTCCCTCCTCATCTTGCTTCCCCTCCGTTCTCCCTCCCTGCCTTCCTCTCTCTCTCTCTTCCTCTTCATCCCTCCTCTCTCATCCTTCTTGCCCTTCTCCTTCCCCTGCTCTTCCTCCTGCCCCCCTCTTATCCTTCCGCTTTACCCCTATCCCCCCTTCCTTCTTCCCCCCTGTTGTCTTCCCCCTCGCTCCAGGTTGACGTGAGCAACTTCGACGAAAACGTCATCGGCGAGGATATGAAGGACGGCGCGTGTGGTGTCTTAAGCCAGCGAGGAGGAAACAAGAGAGGACGCTGGAAGGGAGGAGGGAGGAAAGCGGAAGGGCTCTTACTGTCCGCACTTTCTTCCAGCGTTGTCAGAGTGACAGCCCGAGTGTTGTTTTCCTCTTCCCTCTCGTAACCTAGCTCTCCAAAGTGGACCACCGCGACTCCTTCTTTTCTGCGAGACAGTCTTTAGTTTGATCTTAACTTTACTCTTGTGCTCCCGTGATGAGCGGGATGTTGTTTCTCCTCGAAGGTGAAAGGTTCGCCTCCCTCCAGTTCTCTTTTCTCATACGGAGTACCGTTCTGCGGCCGCTGCTGCGTGCCTGTCCGCTACGTGCTTCCACCTTCCACCACCTGCCGTGCGTATCCACTGGGGGTGTCCACCTGGTGGTCGATACATCGCGGGAGTGATCGGCGGTCGCGCAAAACATAAACAAACACATGATGTCTTGTGGGTAGTCTGGGGCGTCAGTTTTCTCAGAATCGGGAAGGAGGGAGCCGTCCTGGAGTATGCCGCCTTGCGCATCTAGCCCCACCCCCCCGAACATGCGGGGGATGCGAGCCCAAGGTCAGAGTCTGCCAGAGCCCCCTTCCTCCACGAGATGGCTGCCCCTGTCCTTTTCCCTCCCTCAACCGCCTGTTCTTTTCCTGCCCCTTCGCCTTTTTGACGTTGAGCGGATTCTAATCCTCGGGATTGAAGCGTCAATAGCTCCTTCGCCTCCTCCTTCTCCTCCTAAGCATGCCTTTTCTCATCTTCTCCTTCCCCTCTCTCTCTCTCTCTCCTTCCCCTCTTCCTCGCCCCTGTATCCTTCATTCTTCCCTCTGGGTTTCCCTCTTCACTCATCATCATATTCATTTTAGGCGTTTTATATTTCTTCTTCGTCTTCTCCCTCCTTCCCCTTCGGAGCGTAATTGGAACGTACTCGGAGCATATCCAGAACGTATTCGGAGCACACTCGGAGCGTAACCAGAGCGTATTCGGAGCGCAGTCGGAGCGCAACTACAGCGTAATCGGAGCGCAATCGGAGCGCAACCAGAGCGTAATCGGAGCGTGATCGGAGCGCCATCGGAGCGCCATTCCTTTCCTCCTTCTCAGGCTCGGGCTGGTGGCATGACGGTCGTGTGTCGACGTTGCCCCCCCCCAACGTGGCGGTCGCCCACGGGGGGGGGAGGGCTGATCAAACTAGGAGATCTGTAAGAGTAGGCGATGAAAAGGGCACGACTGGTGGAGGAGACCCCCAGGGGGCGACGTATCTATGTCCCTCAGCGCCCGTGCGGGGAGGGTGAGAGAGAGGGCCTTCTCCGTCGCCTCCTCCCCCTCCCCCTCCCAGCGCCATTCTCCCCCCTCTGCCGCCCGGAACCCGCGCCCGCGGGGTAGGACGTTACGTCCAAGATCCAAGACGCGTGACCCCGCAGAGAAGCAAGAGGAGCCAGAGGAGGAGGAGGAGGGAGGAGGAGGAGAAGGAGGAGGAGGAGGAGGAGGAGGAGGAGGCGGGCGAGGAGGAGAAGGAGGAGGCGGGCGAGGAGGAGGAGAGGAGGGCGACGACGATGATGATGATGATGATGATGATGATGATGATGATGATGATGATGATGATGATGATGATGATGATGATGATGATGATGATGATGATGATGGATGATGATGATGATGATGATGATGATGATGATGATGATGATGATGATGATGATGATGATGATGATGATGATGATGATGATGATGAGAGGATGAGGATGAGGATGATGATGAGATGATGATGATGCTGATGCTGATGCTGCTGCTGATGCTGATGCTGTGCTGATGATGATGATGATGCCGATGACGACGATTGATGATGATGATGATGATGATGATGATGATGATGATGATGATGATGATGACGGTGGTGATGATGATGATTCTGATTCTGATGATGATGATGATGATGATGATGATGACGCTGATGATGATGATGATGATGATGATGATGATGATGATGATGATGAGGAGGGAGGAGGAGGAGGAGGAGGAGGAGGAGGAGGAGGAGGATAACGAGGAGAAGCGGAGAGGAGGTTGAGGAGGACGCGGAGGAGGGTGAGGAGGATGAGGAGGATGAGGAGGAGGAGGAGGAGGAGGATGGATGATGTGGTGGTGATGTGGTGGATGATGATGATGATGATGATGATGATGATGATGATGATGATAATGATGATTGATGTGGTGTGATGGATGATGATGTGATGATGATGATGAGGAGGAGGAGAGGAGAGGAGGAGGAGTGAGGAGGAGGGAGGAGGAGGAGGGAGGAGGGAGAGATGATGGATGAGGAGGGGAGACAGAGGGAGGAGGAGGAGGAGGAGGAGGAGGAGGAGGTGGAGAAGGAGGAGGAGGAGTGGACAGGGAGAGGACAGGGAGGAGGTGGAGGAGGAGAGCGATAAAGAGAGCGTGGCGGAGAGCGAGGAGAAGAGCGAGGAGAAAGCGAGGAGAAGAGCGAGGAGGAGGACGAGGAGGAGGAGGATAATCTGGAGAAGTGGACAGGAGCATGAGGAGGAGGTGGAGGAGGGCGAGGAGGAGGAGGGAGAGGAGGAGGGGAAGGAGTTGGAGGAGGCGGGTAAGGAGTAGGACGAGGATGCGGAGGAGGAGGAGGATCAGGAGGAGGGCGACGACGTGGAGGAATGAGAAGGACACGGAAGAGGAGAAGATGGAGGGGAGGGTGATCACGATGATGCGGAGGATGAGGAGGATGAGGAGGACGAGGGGGGAAGAGGATGACTAGGAGGGCGGCAAGCCACGCTATCGATGCGCAGTCAGTGCATTCGGCTTCCTTCCGAGGCCCCACCGTGGTCGTCATGTTGGCCAAATTGCCCCCTCCTCATCCATGAATGTCCCTCCAACGTGCTCTCCTCCACTTTCTTCTACCCTCTATGTCCCATCCTCCTGCATCCCCCATTCTACATCGTCCGTCCTCTTTCTCCCATCGCCCAACCTCCGCGCTCCATCTGTCATCGTCCACCCCCCGCCCACCGTCCATCGTCCATCGTCCTTCATTCGTCGTCGTAATCCTCTTTGCCCGTCCTCCATCTTCCATCCTCACTCCAACACCCCCCCATCGTCCATTTCTGCATCCTCCATCCCTTTATCTCCTCCACCCCTCCTCCTCCTTCCTCCCTCCTGTAGTATGTCCTGTATCCACCTTCATCCTCCATCCTCCGTCGTCCGTCCCGCTCCGTCCTCTCTCCTCGTCGATGCACCCACGCTTTCTCCTCCCTCCGCCCTCCTCCACCTCGAGGTCCTACGGAGAGCCTGGCGCATCAAGCTCGGTGGCCGTCTGCTGCAGCGGCGACCGATCCTGTGCGGTGACACTGTACGCACGTGCAGCGGGCATCTTCCGACTTTGGCGCAGCGGCCCCGGCCGCCGCGAGAGGGGCGGGCCCCGGCGGGCGTGGACGCCTGAGTTGCACAAGCCTGCGCAGCGTGTCTGTCGCGATGAGGCTTTGCCGCCTCCCAGCCTCGGCCTGTGGCTGCGCTCTCCCCCGCGTCCTTCCCCTCGTTAATTCAAGCTTCGCGCGGCCCGCTTAGCTTCGACCGGAAGAGGTGCGCTCTCGACCCGCGAATCAAAAAGTGTCTGTCGCGATGCTGGCTGGCATGCGAGTCATCTGGGCACGTTTCCGGCGGAGGCCTGGCATGCAGCAGTGTGCAAGCATGCCGTCCGGCCGTCCGGCGCACGCTCGTGGCACTGGCCACGGGCCCACGGACACGCGGCCTCGGTCATTCGTTCCATCCTCTGTCCTGTTCGCTCAATGCTCACCCCTCTTCATGTCTCCTCCTCCCCCTCTATCCGACATCCTCCACCCAACGTCCTCCGTCGTTCGTCCTCCACGCTCCCTCTTCGTTCTTGCCCTCGACGCTCTGCCTCCCGTGCTCTTGCCCGCCACCCGCCGTATTCCTCCATCGTCCATCCTCCATCCTCCTCGCCTCCACCTGCTCCTGCCCATCGCCTCATCGTCCGCCCCCCCCCTTCGCCTCCGAGGTATAGGGATATGCTCACGGACGACCACAGGCACCGCCGCCCCCAGCTTCACTGCGGGACGGCGTCGCCATTTTGGCAGCGGTGGTTGGGGTGAGATCCAGCCGACGCCGACGCCGACGCCGATGCCGACGCTGACGCCGACGGCGCCGACGACGAAGACGACGCCGACGCCGAAAACGGAAACGACGACGAAAACGACGAGGACGGCGACGGCGACGGCGACGACGACGGCGACCGCGACGGTGACGGTGACGGCGACGGCGACGCCGACGCCGACGGCGACGGCCACGCTGGCGCCACCGACGCCGACGAAAACGAAAACGACGACGAAGACGTCAGCGACGGCGACGGCGACGGCGACGGCGACGGCGGTGCCGATACCGACGCCGACGCCGATGCCGACGCCGACGGCGACGCCGACGCCGACGATGACGCCGACAACGACGCCGACGCCGCCGACGAAGACGACGACGGCGATGGCGACCGAGAGGCGACGGCGACGCCGACGGCGACAGCGACGCTCGCGCCGAGGCCGACGCCGACGCCGACGCCGCCGACGAAGACGAAGACGACGAAGAAGACGACGACGAAAACGAAGACGACGACGAAGACGACGACAACCACGACGCCGACGCCGACGCCGACGGCAACGCCGACGCCGACGCAGACGTCGACGCTGAAGCCGATTCCGACGACGACGCAGACGACGACGAAAACGACGACGATGAAGACGACGACGACGACGGTGGCGACGGCAAGGCGACGCCGACGCCGACGCCGAAGCCAACGCCGCCGACGACGACGAAGACGAAGACGATCACGAAGACCTACGAAGACGACGACGACAACGAAGCCGACGCCGACGCCGACGCGAACGCCGATGCCGACGCCGACGCCGACGCTGACGACGTCGACGAAGACGAAGACGACGAAGACGACGCCGACGACGACGATGACGCCCACGCCGACGCCGACGCCGGCGCCGACGCCGACGCCGACGCCGACGCCGACGCCGATGCCGACGCCGACGCCGACGCCGACGACGACAACGACGAAAACGACGGCGACGGCGACGGCGACGGCGACGCCGACGCCGACGCGCCGCCGCCGACGACGACGACGAAGACGACGCCGACGGCGGCGGCGACGGCGACGCCGACGCCGACGCCGCCGCCGACGACGACGAAGACGACGACGACGACGACGACGACGACGACGACGACGACGACGACGACTGCGACGTCGACGGCGACGGCCGACGCCGATTTCGACGCCGACGCCGATTTCGACGGCGACGCCGACGCCGATTCTGACGCCGCTGCCGCCGCCACCGCCACCGCCGACGGCGACGCCGACGCCGACGCCGACGCCGACGCCGCCGCCGACGACGAAGAAGGAGACCGCCGACGCCGACGCCGATGACGACGACGAAGACGACGCCGACGCCGTCGCTGACGCCGACGCCGTCGCCGACGTTGACGCCGACGCAGCCGATGACGACGAAAACGAAGACGACGACGACGACGACGAAAACGCCGACGGCGACGCCGACGCCGACGCCAATGGCAACGGCGACTGCGACGGCGACGGCGACGGCGACACCGACGCCGACGAAAACGAAAACGATGAAAACGAAGACGACGACGCCGACGCCGAAGACGAAAACGACGGCGACCGCGACGGCGACGGCGATGGCGACGGCGACGGCGACGGCGACGGTGACGGCGACGCCGACGCCGACGCCGACGACGAAGACGCTAAAGAGGCTTCTTTTGCCTAAAGGGGCCTCCAGAGCATCGCTCCGCAACTAGTCGTGATCCCCATTTTTACGCCTGCGGGTCCAAACGACGCCTGGGTATCAGACACCCCCGCATGGGTTCACCTGCCGGCAGACATGCTTCGGATTCTGGACCCTGGCCAGCGTTTCAGAAACCTGTCTTGCCAGGCCAGGGTTCACGTGTGGTCGCCTGACCGTTCAGTAGGACGCAACGCCTGGTGGTTAGATCTAGCATCGGCGCTGGTATACAGTATCCGTGGTCGAAAGCCAGCCTAATCCGGCATAGTCCCGCAGAGTCCCGCTTAATTCCGCTTCGTCCGGCGTAATCGGGCATTATCCTGGGCTTGATCCGGCTTAAGCCAGCTTCATGGCCCCCTTCTCAGGTGTAGCAGTTTCTGATCTTTCCCACGAAAACCTCACAGGAGCTGTCTCTTAACCGCTCACGAGGCCCAGGGAGCCCCCTGGGTCTCCAACAAGGGGGCGGGGAAGCCGGGGACACCCAACTTGGGCTCGGGGGGGAGCCAACATGCGCCTGGCGCGTGCGCGCGGGACACGTATTTTCACGTGTTCACGGCCCCCAGATGGGGGGACCCAACTCGGGCGCGCCGAATCTCCCACAAGTGAACATGCGCGCGCCCAGGGGCGGACCCAACGCGGGCCTGCCGGATTTTTTTTAGACGTGAAAATGCGTGAGCGGAGGCGGGGGACCCATCATGCACCTGGCGCGTGCGCGCGGGGCCTGTATTTTGACGTGTCCACGGCCTCCAGTGGCCCGCGCCCGCGGGGGTGGGGAGGACCCAGCTTGGGGGTGGGGAGGACCCGACATGCACCTGGCGGGGGGCTGCGGGGGACGCACATTCACATGTCCACGGCCCATAGGGGGGGAGCAGGAGGAGGGAGGAGGGAGGAGGGAGGAGGAGGAGGAGGAGGGAGGATGAGGGAGGAGGAGGAGGAGGAGGAGGGAGGAGGATGAGGAGGAGGAGGAGGAGGAGGAGGGAGGAGGGAGGATGAGGAGGATGAGGCGGAGGAGGGAGGGAGGAGGGAGGAGGAGGAGGAGGAGGAGGTGCGCAAATCCTTGCGCGCAGCTGGGGGGCTCCACCTGCGCCCGGTGCGTGCGCGCGGGGCACGCACTTTCTCGCGTGCCCGGGGCCCCCAGGGGGAACCCAACCTGGGCCCGCTGGATGCTTTACGCGTGAGAGTACTTCCGCGCGGAGGGGGCGCGCCAGCATGCGCCCAGGCGCGTGCGCGCGTGGAGCGCTTCTCTTCACGCGCTCGCGGCGCCAGGGGGGGGACCCAATTTCGGCACGCCGGAGTCTTTACACGCGAAGCTGCGTGCGCGGAGGGAGGGAGCCAGCCTGCGCCTGGCGCGTGCGCGCGGGGTGTG